CCTTCTTGTGCGGCGAGGTTTTGCGCAAAAAATAAACTCACTTTCCACCTAAGCCACAAAACCGGCCGCCGCTCCGGCCACGGCTCCGCTGCTGCGATCTGCACTTCGCTGCAAACGCTCAGCCCACGGCCCGAGTCCCACCGGGAGCCGCCTGGGCTGGGCGAAGGGCTGTCATTCCCAAAAAACCCACGCTCGCCATCCGGGAGCAGCCCCTGCATCACATCGCATCGCATCGCATTGCATCGCATCGCACCACGCCGGCAGGGATTGCCCCGCAGCCTCTGCGGCTCCGGCACTGGCTGGGGTTGCAGGATGGCAAGAGAATGAAGCAAATGTGTAAGAAGCACGATTTTCCGTGGTTTGGGCTCTGGGGGACTATTTTTAGCTCCTGCTGACTCATTTGGGAAATGGCTTCCCCTCCCCAAGCCTCATCCTTGGCCACTCGGTGCCATCCTTAATTCCTGCATATAACACACATAAAGTGAACTTAAAGTGACACCACCCCGGCTCAGCTGGGAGATGGTGGAGGAGATGGGATTGGGGCTGGACCGGGTCTCCCTGGCTCCCACGGTCCTGTGCAGCTGCCCTCCCTTCGTTAACTAGGGTGCCATCTAATGACCCCCCAAAAAAAACCTTGTGGAGGCTCTGCCGGGTCTGCGGGGAGGAGCGGGGCAGTGGTGGTACGGGGTGCTGTCTCTCCTGGGAGCTGGGCTTCCTCCGTGCATCCCTCATGGAGCACTCGGGAGTTGATGAGCAACTCCCTGCTCTCAGTCCCACCCCCCAGAAAGGCAGTTTGAAGCCCTTCTGCTGGTGAATTCATGCCTAAGAATTTGCCTTCAGACTTAAAAGAGCTCTGAGTCAATTGGACCCAACCTCACGCTCCTGAAGGCTGAAAATAAGGCAATATCGGAGTTTCCTTAAAGCCTTCCCAGAGGGTTGGGTTCATCCAGAATCCCTGGGCACTGGGGCTGTGCCACGCTGTGTTCACCGTGGCACCTCCTCAGCTTGCCCAGCCTTGTTCCCAGCAGCTCCCGTGGCCACCGAGCCTTCCCATGGGCTCGCACGCCGCTGTTCCTGCTCCCAAAATCTCCCCAGCTTTGCACGGCAGCATAGCTCCATACCGGGGTCGCTGGCCACAGCTCACCCGAAAACAGCTTTTGCTGCCCTCCTGACCCTTAAACTCCACGTACTCCAAAAGCACGCATGTCTCTAATTATTTTTATTTTATATATACTCTTTTTTTTTTTTGCCTCCAGATCACAGCCAATGTTGAGCCTGGGGCTGCGAGCGCCCGGCCTTGGCGACGGGAGGATAAACGTGGCAGAGGGGGGGGCCAGCCGCTCGCCTCCCCTCGTCTCACCCAGCGCGAAGCTGGAGATGCCGGGCGAGGACAGGCAGCCCCGTGGGACCAGGGGGTCAAATTTGAGGACGGTGAAATCTCTGCGTGCAGGTCCCCGGGGATCCCGCGGGGAAGGGGCCGGGGAGGTCCCTCCGTGGGGCAGTCCTGCGTCCCCGTTCTCGTGGCCCCGTGTCCCACAGCAGAAGAGCTGCGGGTTGGGACGGGCGAGCCCAGCTGGAAAAGCCAGAGGTCCCCAGGAGGTCAGTCCGTAGACAGGGAGCAGGGATAGACTCCCGCGGAAGTTTACTAAAACTGAACACCCTCATAGAAATGCCATTTAAGAATTTCTTTGCCCTAAACCTAATACCCGACTGTAAAAAATGTGTAACAAAAGTTGATATAATTCCAGGAAAAATTATAAAAAGGAGGATGGGAAGGGACTTTTTCCACCGTGCAGAAGGAATGTGGATACGGTCTATAAAATTAATTTCCTCTTTCTTACTAAACAGTACCTTCTGAGCAATTCAGATAAATAGCAACATTCATTATTCTCTGCACCAAAAATAAAAAAAAAAAAAAAAAGGAACTTTTAATGCTTGTGTATTCCTGCAATTATCTTGAGAACCCTTTTATGTTGACAGCCAGGGGTCAAAAGCCGGTCTTGGTTTCACCTGATCTCATTGACTTCTGCAGAGACATTCCAGATTCACGCCAACACAAGAGCCACCAGAGCCGAGCTCGGGACACACAATGCTGCCATTCACGTCAGGAGGATGCTCGGCTCAGGGAAAATCACTTCTCTTTCTATAGATGATATCTACACAGAAAATGGAGGAAAAGGACAATGCATGGAAACGCAGTTATGCAAACAGCATAAATTTCAAATCAAAGTGCTCTTCTCTGAGTTTATAAACTGTGCCCCCGATCACTGGTTTTCTCCTAGGGAAATGAAGAGGGAGACCAGTATGCTTAAGTGTAAATCTAGGCGTGGGAAATGAACTTCTGGTGCTCTTAAAAATTTCCAGCACACCCTAAAGCCTGAGTCACTGGGATTATTGGGGCCAGTGAATTTTACCTGCCTATCACCTTCTCGAGCATCCGTTTTGTAATGCCTTTGAATTTCACTCAACGGCAAATGCGGTGCGAGTATCCCCCTACCCTGCGGGACGCCAAAGAAAGTTGAATGTCACCATTCAGCATGAGCTATTCAAACGGGAGCTGCTTCCAGCACCGGCAGAGGGGTCTCCAGGGCTCACGTTATCGCTTGTACCTACGGAACGCTTATAGATCTACAGCATTGAGTTTCCGCAAATATTAGTAAAAGCTAACTTGATTTTGCAAAGCTTAGAGAAAGTAAAAACAAGCGTGGCGGAAAGCCAAGGGATTTAAAACCTGCGTATTTTGGTTGTGTACGTCCTCGGTGCGGGGACCCCATGGCCACCCAGGGCTCCCGCAGCAGGAGCGCACATCTCCTCCCGCACACCCTGCGGCTCCCGGCAGCACCAAGGACGTGGCACTCACTGGCTGTCACCCCGTGCGAGGGACCGCGGGTGGGACAACAGACCGGGAGGAGGAGAAAAAGGAGAGAGGGATGAGCTTGGTAGCGTTCCCCGAGTCTGCCGCTGGGACCCATCCTGCTGGGCGCACAGACCCTCACCACGCTCTCCCACGAGCTGGGGACGCTTCAGTCCAATTCTTAATTTCAGTATATGGGGTGGTTTACAAGACCATCACGTATGGCTATTTTAACTCTGCTTTAAAGATTAACGCAGGTATCAGTGAAGTCACTGCAAGCTTTGCTATTCAACATCAAGAAGAAAGTAAAGATAAGCACTTATATTCCCATCTCACCCTTTTTCCCCCCCAAGCGTGACTTTGGAGAGGAAGCCCTCCCTCCACACGCAGAACAGGCAGAGCCAAAGCCCATCCGTTTTCCAAGCAAGAGTTCGGATTAAGACTTGAAACTCACGTTGTAACCGGAAGGAGGAGAAAGGAGGAACCAAAGTCTCTGCAAGTTATTCTGCAGCTTTGGCTTATAGCGTAATAAAGTCATTTTGCCAGCAGTTTTGTAAATGAGAGCAGAGAAAATGGTGTCCAGTTACAGACACTCTGGCAAGATAGCTCTTGGCAGATCCTGCGAACAGCAAATTTGCTTTGGGACTCTGTTGTTCAGACTTCGTTAATGTTCTTGAGCTTCATTAATTGTCATCACATTTATTTTCCTCATGTTAAAACATTTTCCACAGGGCTGCACTGCAACCAAGTCCCCGGCGCATTTCTCAGGCTGGGGCGGCCGAATTTCCCTAATCCCAACCCTTTCCTCCCAATTAGGGCCCAGCCTAAAAATCTTGCACTGGTGAAACCAAACTGCAACTTAGTTTATATAAGAGAAAAAAAAAAGTCACAAATGTAACTATTTTAATGACTGTATTTTAAAAAAAAAAAACCAACAACAACCAACCCAACACTACATGCAACGTATAATTTTGTTGCCATCATAATTAAGAGGTATTTCCAAGGGCTCACCAACCAGAAAACAGAATTTGGTACCGTAAAATTCCTACGTGCTGTACAGAATAAGATGAACTTGGCCTAAAACCATGGAGCCTGACCTCGCAAACCCCTACTCATGTGAGCAGCCTCAATGAAATCCTATGAAATCCTTGGGATTACGGATGTGGAAATACACTTCTCAAAGAAGTGGGGGGAAAAAAAATAAATTAAAAAAAATCTCATAGGAAGACACAGTTAAAGTACAGGGAAAGGGAGCAAGAAAAAAAAAAAAAAAAACAAAACACAACAACAAAACCCAAGACACGAGGAGAAGAGAAAACCTTTGTCAAAATCCTTTATTCTGAACAGTCTGTCTCCTTCAGAGCCAGTCTCCGCGTTTCTTTTTGGCACAGAAACAGGTTCAAGCAGAAAGAAAACGTAACACGTACTTGATAAAAAGCAATTTTTAATTTTATCAAATTGATCTGTACAAAAGTTAGCATTGCTTAGTCAGAAGCTAGTGAAGAGAACAGATAAGTAACAGCCAAAGTCTTTCAAACTTTATACAGAAAAATAGATTGCATAAAAATGAGTTTTCTGTATTTTCCCCCACCCCCACGTCCCCAAAAGGAAATATGCAAAAAATATTTTTAGAAAAAGAGTAGGAAACATAGAAAAGGTAAAAAGATGATAACCTCTGAAATGTGTTTTTTAGATTTACAAAGTTTTTAAAGGCACAAGTTACCATAAAATAGATGGTTATTATATGCTCAGCATACAATGGAAGAAGTAGAAATATATCAATGAAATATTAGTCTAAAACTAAGTACCTAAAAATTTTTTTAGTGGAGAAGATTTTAGTTTCACAGCTTGATGGATGGTATCTGGTCCCTAGAAGCCAAAATTAAAGCAGAGGTTGATAATTTCTCATTAAATTACATCTTCCTATAAAGTAGTCCTGGTTCTTAAAGTGTACAAAGACTCTGCAATGCCTTAAATCCAATTTTAACACAGCTAGAAAAATCGCCTGCTCCTTTTTGCAATCGTTTTAGCCCCCCAATTTAATTAGTAACTTCCCTCCCACCGCGCCTCGTTATTTTACATTCCCCTTTGAGTTTCCCCGTTGGTGACCAGGTCCGCGATGGGCAGATTCGTTCAGTCCCTCTCTCAAACACGACTGCTGCAGCGGTTCGAAACAAAAAAAAAAGAACAAACAAAACACCAACCCAAAACCCAGCAAAAAAAAAAAATCTATAGACTCATAACACCGTTTTATTGTATCATCTCCACTATTTTTATGCTCCCTCCCCACCCCACCTTTAAAATCTTTTAAAATTCTACTTTTTGCACAAAATTACTTCATTAATTAAAAGACAAAATAATACAGAACATAAATACATATTTAACAGATTTAAAAAAAAAAAACAAAACAGAAAAACCAAAAACACTTTAAGCTTCCAAAAAAAAAAAACCAAAACAAAATGTTAATTACAGCCAAACCTTGCTTAGAAGAACTCTCGACTAAAAAAAACAAACACTTCAGACATTTAATTGGTTGGTCCCACCAGACTCATTTGTTCCCACGAGATTGTTACACGGAATAGTCGGGTTTTCGGGTTTCATCCACGTTGGTCCGAGTGAGTTCTTGCCCTCAAGGTTGGTCCGTTCCTCACATTGCAATAGACCCTTAAAGTCTCAAACAGCTTTTTTTTTTTTCCTTTTTCTTTTTTTTTTTTTCCCCATTAATTCCCCCCCTTCCCACCCCCCTGCTCCACTTTTGCACGTGTCAACTTCCACGACGAGTAAGTTCAGTTCAGTCCTCACAGAGGAGTCAAATGGTTTTGTCCTTCATTTATTCAAAAGGAATCGCCGGTCCTTTTTTATTTGTTTGTTTTTTAATTATTTTTAATTATTTTTTTTTTTAATTGTATTAAAGAAAAATAGAGCTCTGTCCTTTTTGGAGAGTTTTGAAGCAAGGGGACATCCAGTCGCAACGAACAGAGTTCCCAGTGGCTCAGGAGGCACTTCGGAAACTATCGCAGCACTCCACGCTCTTCGTCTTCATTCCTTCATTAGTGCATACGTTGGGGAAGCCCACGGGGGCTCCGCACATCCTTTAAGGCCTCGTCAGGGTCGTATAGACCGGCTGGTCCCAGTTAGCGGTGGGGCT